TACTAGCTTTAAAGGTAAGCCAACAAAATCGCTCCACTTAAGGGTGGTTTGGTGGTGAACTATTATTAGGGTGGTAATAAATTAGTGAAAATGGGTAAAAAACATGACATCGGTAAAAAGTTTTCTGAATTCTGCTAGCTTGAACCTTAAGCCAGCAGAATCGCTTTCCGTAAGGTTGGTATTGTCGTGAAAAATTATTAGGGTGGCAATAATATTACGTAAGAAATATTACGTAGGTTAAATTGGATTCCGCTCATTTGTCTTTGCTAGCTTAAGGGTCCTTAAAAGAGATGCAAAGAAGTTACGACGCTTACCTACAGGCTTTCCATTAAAACCGCTCAAAAAAATGTGTAGAAAGAATGGTTTTCTTAGAAACAACGCTTGAGGCGACCGACAGTGTTTGAATGTCAGTTACGCGCTCAAAATCAGTTTTTAATAAAATTTGTATAAACTTGACGGTAAAAATCAGAGTGTTCTATAAATAAAATGTATCACTTTTATTGACCAGTCACTGTAGAATTTTCATTGATACTGACGAATCTTCAAAACCTTTAACATGAAATTTCGATTTTGAGTTTTGGCACAACAAGTGCAAAGCATCCGAAATATGTCTAAAAAACGTTTAATTGAAACTTTCGTATTAAAAACAAACAAAAATGTTTAAAAATACTTTTTTTGATTCCACAAGTACGTTATTTAAAATTACACGATTTTAGCTATACATTGCATCTAATACCGTCCTCTTAAATGCATTTCCCGTGACGTGCGATCGTTTGTAATTTGAAAATTTAAAATATGTCTTTATTCGGCATATTTTGAATGCCTTATATCTGTGCCCAAAATTCAAAATCAAAATTTTATATTACAGGTTTTAAATATTAGTCGCTAACAATAGCAATGCATCTGGACCGTTCAATGAAATTGATAAATTGTATTGATCTCATGAGAATCGAAAAAAATGTCAAAAATCACAATGGTTATTTATTAAACGGATTTATAGAAACTGACTTTGTTCGCGGCAAAATACAACAACTTCATAAAAATTCTAAGTTTTTACCGTCGAGTTGATACGTATTTTAATTAAAAAATTGATTTCATGCAAGTAACCGACATTCAACATCGCCGGTAGATTCAAGCGTTGTTTCTAAGAGAACAACGATTCATTCTACACAAAGTTGTTATAAACATTTTGTTCAAAATTATCTACGGTCTACAGATTCTTGGTAAATCTATTTTCCCACTGCAAGGAGGGGTTTCAGTGCGAAGCCGGGGGTAGGAGTGTTAAATTTTTGCATGTTTTTTTGGGGTCCCAAAAATTGATATTTTCAGCAAAATTCAGCTTGTTCATATGATTTTTAGAGGTCAATTCTCTGATAACGACTATAGTAAATAATATAGATTATAATTTTTCTAATATAATATTATATACATTTAAACTACTTATGCAATAAAATAATTTCTGTCCTTGTTTTAAAAAATTATAAAAAATGTTGGGACCGTCGACTTTTGTATATTAATATGCGTTTTTTAAACGTAAATTAAAAGTGACCCACGAAAGCGTAGCATAGTTCATAATCTTTGTTCTTCTGCGAACTCTGTCTACATTTTTATATTTTGAAAAGCTTATTAACAACCTGATCCAAACGGACATTATCATGTAGAGTCTTTTATGAATAATACAGGGCAAAGTTATGAAATTGTTTACTGTGAAAACCACTTACGTAATAAAATTGTTTGTATCCTTATTTTAGAAAACTATAAGGAAACGCTATTGGCTTCTCTACACATCGGCAGACGCGTCCGCGGACGACGTCTACGTATGCATCTGAAGATGTGTTTATGATCATCTGTTGTTTATATATCACGTCCTTGGATGCGTCTGCAACATATCCGATTGTTGTCGGTTTTCTTAGCACAGATCAAAGGGTTTCGGTGCAGACGTCCGACGCCTTTCCACACATCGGACCTCCGACTTCTTCTTTTCCATTTTTTTATTGATTCTATTCCGATGTACACTCAAGTAGTAGTTGAACGTTCTAAATAGGCATATTTAGCTGCGGCAGGTATGGTCTCATATCCACAAAAAAAGCAGCAAGGATCAGTGTGAGAATTTCAGAGGAATTGCGGTAAACAGCACAATAAGTAGGATGTATGGGAAACTTATTAAGAACAAAATAGAAAATGACTATAGAGATTACGAAGCAGAGGAGCAAGCTGGTTTTAGAGCTAGGCGAACCATAGTAGATACCACAGTGTGCTTTATTACGCAAGTTATTAAGAAAAAAATAGCCGTCAATAAAGAAGTTCACCTGGTGTACGTAGACTTACAAAAAACATATGTCACTGTACCCCTCAGTAAACTTTGGTCAACCCTACAGAAAACCAACATTAAGCATGGTCTTATCAATGCAGTCCAAAGTCCGTTTAATGGAACGACTGCAAAAATTAAAACTGGATCAAGGATATCTGAGGGCTTTAGGGTCACGAAAGGACTAAAGCAGGGTTGGTGTATTTCGCCTACCCTTTTCAAAATTTATCTGGAACAATTACTCATGCTATGGAAAAGAAAATGTAATGGCATGGGAATCCCTCTCAATGACGAGACAACACTGTACACCTTATGTTTCACTGATGACCAAATATTGATTGCTCAGGATCATGACAACTTGAGTTACATTACTCGGAAGCTAATAGAAGAATATAACAAATGGGGTCTCGAAGTTAACATTAAGAAAACTGAAGCCTTGTGTATTGGAGGGACAAAGCAGTCCATTATATTAGACGATGAGGTGCAAATTAGACACTGTGATGAATACAAGTACCTGGGTATAAGGATAACTCATGACGGAACACTCGATGCTATTATAAAAGACAGAAACATAGAGGGTAGAAAAGCTATGTCCATGATGAACGACATTCTGTGGGACCAAACAATATCTAAAGCGAACAAACAACTCATATACAACACCATACTTAAAAGTATAATCACATATGGCAGTGAACTGTGGCCAATGAAACAAAGAACACAGAAACTGTTACTAGCAACAGAAATGGACTTTTGGAGAAAAGCAGCAGGCAAATCAAGAAGAGATGTATACCAAATGAGAGAATACAAGAAATTATGTGAGTCAAGCATACAGTAGTTGATGATATAAAAACGAAACAGTTAATATGGTACGGTCATGTACAGAGAATGCCAGATAATAAGATTCCGAAACAGATTTTGACGTGGACACCACAAGGGAGAAGGAAAAGAGGAAGGCCGAGAAGAAGCTGAAGAGTGGGAATTGAAAAAGAACTAGAGGAAATTGAAATCCCTCCAGGCCTATGGTTAAATAGAGAAAAATGTCGGTTAGGAGTCGGAAGGCGTCGGATCTTTTAATTTTTAATTCGGCATTTTTTTAATGCTTGCGTAGATATTGCGTCTCCCGGGAATTAACATAGACTGAACGATTTACAGATGTGTCCAGATATGTGGTCAGGTTGTAATGATACATCTGCAGATACATCCGCAGAGGCGTCTACCGATGTGTAGTAGAGGCATAAGAGACGTCAACTTTTAAATTTAAATGTAAGCTTTTTAAACATTCTTTTAAATGTACAGTGTGATTCTCGCAAGTCTAGCATAAGTAGTACATAATCTTTATTTTTAATGGAACACCCTGCATATGTTTATGTTTTGAAAAGCTCCTTTACAACCTGATCATAATAAACTATATTTATTATGTAGGGTGTATTATGAAAAATACTATAAAAAATTTTAAAATTATAAATAGTTTTCGTCAAGAAATTAAATACAAAAAAGGCAGTATATTGATAATTATTTTCGAAAATGTATGTCTATATTTAAATAATTTTAAAAAGTACCATTATTTTTTATAGGTACCAAGTATGATACTAATTTCACAATTTCACCTTGTATTATTCATAGTAGATCCTACAGGGTCTACATCTTTGAGATGAGGTTATTAAGGTAGCCTCTAAAAATATAAAAATATACATGGCGTTTCAATAAAAATAAAGAGGTTGGACTATGCTAGACTTGTGTGAATGACCATGTACATTTAAACTTCTGTTTAAAAAGCGCACATTTGAATTTAAAATCTGAAGTGTTTTTTATAATTTTATCCCATAAGTGGTTTTACACTACTTATAATTTCCAAATTTTATCCTATATTTTCAATAATAGACACTACATCCTTTATGTCATTGAGACCAGAAGCCTTTCACTACTACTACTGCTACTACTTATCGGTTTATAACGTTCTCCGCCGTTTTCCGACTTTCAATTGCCACTTAGACCGGTTGTTCTATAGGTCTCCTTCTATGACCATCTCTCTCAGTTCTTTATTTATTCATTCAGCCCACCTTTTTCTTGGTCTACCTCGTTTTCTCTTTCCTTCTGGTTGCCATTTTAGTATTTCTTTTGGTATTCGTTGTTCATCCATTCTTTGTATGTGTCCGAACCAGATAATTTGTTTTGTTGTTGTGTCATCTGTGATTGTTCTTTTGATTCCCATTATTTCTCTAATGCGTTCTTTGGTAATCCTTTCTCTTCTAGATCTTCCTGCGGCTCTTCTCCAAAAATCCATTTTCGTCAATTTCAGCGTTAACAGTGTTCTTTCTTTCAGTGACCATACCTCACAGCTGTGTAAAGTGATAATGTTTACTATAGTCTCATATATCCTCTTTTTATTTTCTTTGTTGATGGATTGGTCCAGTAAAATCCTGTTTAACATTGTGATGGCTCTTCTACCTGACGCATTTCTCTCTCTTATGGCTTTGTATAATGTTCCATCATGTGAAATAATAATACCTAGATATTTGAGTCACAGCAGTGCTTTATCGTAGTGTTATCGTCTAATACGAGATGTTTTTGTTCTACTTCCAGAAACCTTTTAAAAATGTAAAAATATATAAAGTGTTCCATTAAACATAAAGAACATATTTATAAATGGTTTAAACAATAAAAATATGTATGAAATTTTAAAAAATATTACCTATACAATTTCGAGGTCCTGCACTAAAAGGAGTGTATTGATAAGGATTGAGTCTATTTGTATCTAAAAATCTGTTCGGATTGAATTTTAAAGGATCTGGAAAAGCCTCTGCATCTCGATGATAGGCAAATATAAATAACAGTACATCGATTCCCTTTGGTAAAAGCATTCCTTCTAAAAATAAATAAAAGCATAAATAAGTTTAATTTGTTAAAAAGTCTGTCCTAATTTATACATTTACCAATTACATAAATATGAGTAGGAACATAATTAACCTAGATTATAAATATTTTTGTACATTTTTTTAACTTAATAAATAAATTAAATTTAAGCATATTTTCAAGAATGATCAGTTAAATAACTTTTTAATGTTTCTAGTACCGACATTCTGAGAAAGTATAAAGTATGCCTTTAAACAAAAAAACGTTAAATGTATTTGTCAAAATATTTAATAAAATAAATAGTATCTACTTATGTCACAAAATCTGGTAATATTGTTGTGGGTGCAGCATAGTTCTAACAAATTTTTATATTTAAGAGGTAACCGCGCAGAAGATATCCTAAAAAATAGCCTTAGAAATTAAAAAAAAAATTATTTTAAAAGAAAAATGTGTTTTGTATTAAGGCTGGAGGAGTTTACATGTTAAGTAGACGTGTAAATTTTTTGGAAAATATTATATAATTTGGATGAGTAGACATTTTATCGCAATAGAATAGAATAGAATAGAATAGAATAGAATAGAATAGAATAGAATAGAATAGAATAGAATAGAATAGAATTTATTTAATCATTATACAAAAATAGTTTTGTTTTTGACAAGTCAAAGGAATAGTGACAATACTTATAAAACATATAATTTTTTTTTGAATAATTTAAACATTACAAACATGTATGTATTTAATATTTACAGTTAAAAAAAAACGACAAAAACACTTTGTGCAATTATAAAAAAACATGAAATATAATTATAATAGGCAACTGCCCTGACCAAACTAGTACTATTGTGTAAAAGCTGTACTTAAGTACTCCGTTTTTGAATAGAAACAATGTTTTAAAAAGTGTGATTTGATTTTATGCTTAAATCATAACAAGTGAAGACTTTTTACTTCATCGGGCAAAAAGTTATACAAACTAACGTCAGTCGAATTTTTTACGCTCTTACTGTCAACCTAAAACGTTGTGCTCTAATAGCATCTCTAGATCTTGTATCGTGATCATGGACGTTGGAGTTTACGTTCAACTTGCCTTTGTTGGCATGAATTTCAATCAGCGTCTCATATATGTACATATTGGAAGATTCAAAACGGAACATACGAATTATTAATACAATTATTAAGATCCCCTGACCTGCAATTACCCAGTGTAAATTTCAATATAACGTCGCGATGTCTTATAATTAATTCATTTATTCGACTGGATTGCTACTCCTGGGCGATTTCTAGTAGCGTATTCGACAGGTGTACGTCGACACTGTTGTCTATCGTCCACTGATTTTCTGTGTTTTTGTGCAGATAATAACAATGTTTTATTAATAACAATTTTTTTGTGTTCATTAGATATTATTTGAATTGGTTAATGTATAGTTTAATATATTTATTATTCCAAATATTGTTGATAATTTAAAATTTAAAAGGATGTATATGACACATCAAAATCTACAGATTTTTGCCGAAGGTATCTATCGATTTGGCAACAGTCCCAAGGAACATCACTGGCCGAGCAAAACAAATACATGCCCTTTGCTTTGCTTCTCATTATAACGCCATAAGCTGAAATAAAAGTAGTGTTTCTAACCATAAACCATGTATACAAACAAAGAAAAAGTACAAATTTTAAAATGGTATTATGGGGGCAACTCGTACCTTGATATTATACATTTATTTACTTGTGCGTATGAAGATAGGCCAATACCGACACAATCAACTATTAGTCGTATTATTAAGGTGCGCACGTGCGCAGCAGTCGAAAAATATCGACTGGAGAAGGAGTCTAGTCGAACAAATGAATTAATTATAAGACATCGCGACGCTATATTGAAATTTACACTGGGTAATTGCAGGTCAGGGGATCTTAATAATTGTATTAATAATTCGTATGTTCCGTTTTGAATGTTCCAATATTGTATATAGAGTGAAGGTAGTGGCATAATACCTAAATCCAGAAATAAAGGTTTACAGTGTTCTCTATACTCTGCTCTTGCAAGTATCCTCACTACACTTTTTTGTAATTTAAAAATTCGATCTGCGTAAGAAGAATTACCTCAAACAGTTATTCCGAACTGTAAATGGCAATGAAATAGTGCAAAGTAGCACATTCTAAGGGTATTTTTAGGAATCATATAAACTAAGTTGCGTATTAAAAATATACTTGTAGCAAGTCTAGAACTTAAGTAATCTATATGAGCACTTTAATCCAAATTATCGTCTATAAAGATTCCTAATAGTTTAACACTATTTCTTAAGATATACTTCCAATCAGAACTAAAAATCAAATTCTGATTTTTCTCTTCATTTAGCATTAGCCCATTATGTGAGAACCAGTTTTTTGCTTTCTTGGTATCACTATCTATTTTAATTTTTAAATTATTCTGATTAATATCAGTATTTATGAGAGTTGTATCATCTGCGAAGCAAACACATTTTATAGGAAAAGTGTAGTGAAATAAATCGTTCAGATAAATAAGAAACAAAGTGGGTCCTAATATCGAACCTTGAGGTACACCATATTCGACAGTGTTAAACTCAGAATAGCTGTTATTAAGAAAAACTGCCTGTTTTCTATTTGTTAGGTATGATCTAAATAGATTAAGAGTGTTTCCCCTAATACCGTACTTATGCATTTTTTCCAACAGTAATTCATGCGAAACACAGTCAAAAGCTTTGGATAAGTCACACAATGTCAAAGACACAAAATGACCTTCCTCCAAGCCATCAACTATATCTCTCACAATTTTCTGTATAGCTGGTGTAGTGCTACACTTTTTTCTAAAGCCATATTGGTTACAGTGAAGTATTTTGTGTTTTTCTAGATATTCTACCAAACGAACATTTAGAATACTCTCAAAAATTTTGCCGAAAATGGGAATGATTGAGATGGGACGGTAATTTCCAATTTCATCTAAAGCTCCCTTTTTGAACACTGGTAGCACCTTTGTTACTTTTAAAACATCTGGGAAAATCCCCTCAGTAAGACAATTATTATAAAGTATAATTAATTTGTTAATAATAATATCGATTGTTTCCACAATTATTTTTTTGTTTAAGAAATAAAAATTCGTACAGTGTGAATTTTTCAATCTATGCAAAACATTCCTGATTTCAGTATCACTACCAGGTAATAAAAATAAAGAGTTACAAGGAGAGTGTACATCTTTCAAAAAATCTATGGCTACATTTTCATTTGTAAAATTAAAAGAACTTCTAATGTTTAGCCACTGAAGTAAAGTAATTATTGAAATCGTTTGATGTAATCGCGCTTGGACAGACTTTTTTATTTTGAAATTTATTTCTGTGATAATTTATAACTTTTCAACTATCACGAGATATATTTTCAGAATTGGAAAAAAAATTTTCATAAGCCAGTTTTTTCTTTAATGATATTGTTGATTTATAGTGCTTCTTAAATTTTTTATACTCACTATATTCCTTTGTAACATCAGCAATTATCTTGACTGTGGAAAGATTTTTTCGCATTTCTATTAATTCATCATCAAACCAAGAAATTGGAGCTTTACTATGAGTTCGTGATTTTTTTAATGGAAAATTAATTTCAGTTAACTTAACATACATTTCGGTAATAAATTGAGCTAATTCTGTTGCTGTTTTGAGAGAAACAACTGAAGCCCAGTCAACGTTGTTTAACGACTGTTTTAACATCCGGATGCCATTACTTGTTATATGTCTTCTGTATGGATTAGCACTATGTATTTTTTCAGATTTTATTTTTAAGTACAGAAATTATGCATGATGATCAGAAATACACGGGTCCACAATTCCACAACCAACTATCTCACTGCTTATGTTTGTTAAGATGTTATCTAAACAAGTTGCTGATCTAGTTGTGATTCTAGTAAATTCATTAATATTTATGGTTAATCCAAAAGTAGAAATTAGATCACGGAAACTGTTTAATTCATTAGAAGTTTTTTTAAAATCAATGTTGAAATCTCCAATTATTATTATTTCTAAAAAATTAGCAGAGCAAAACTCCAACAACTTTTCAAATAGCTCTAGAAAAACTTTAAAATTCCCATTTCGGTTCTATACACTGTTACTAAAATAGTTTTAATATCTATAATTTCTAATGCACAGAATTCACCCTCAAATTCACATGATATATCATTTAAGCAAATTGGTCGTGTAGGGATTTTATTATCGCTAAAAATTACAACACCTCTATGTTCTCTTACCTTCCGACAATAAAAAGTTGACAAAAAATACCCATCAAGCTTTAATGTTGTTAATTCATTGTCTCTGAGGCAGTGTTCAGAGAAACATAATATATTGTATCTTTTATTTTTCAAAAAAATATTAAGCTGATCTTTTGTTTAATAAACTTTGTGTGTTTACATGTAAAATATTAACTGGACTAATCTGGTCAGAGTTTGCTAAAGTTTTTGGTTTAATATAAGATACAACACTTTCACTTCTGTCTTTTTCGGTTGATGTATCTAAAAGATTTATCGCCGGAAAGTTTTCTGCATATCCCTCAATTCTGCATCTGCCGTGATTCTGAAGGAATTTGATCCATTTACCTTGTTCGCCTACAAGGTGCACGAGAACTCATGTCCGGGGAACTTTGTTTGTAGATATGTTTCCAATTTTTCTGTACTATAAGATTGTTTATACTTTGCGGCATAAATCCACACTTTGTCTTTTGATGCTAGCTCCTCACTATCGCTGTTATTACCCACAACTTTTACATCTGATCGAATAGGTTGATTGACATTTTGAGTAAGACTGTTGATATCATTCATTTTCAAACTTTGTTGTGCCTGCGTTAAAGCGCTTGAGAATTGCTGATTTGTAATTGTTATATTTTCACGTGTCTCTTGTATACCTTTGATTCTCTTTCCATCATTTTTAGTGACGGAATTTGGAGGAAGACCGGCAACACCGCTTTGTTTGTTTGTATTTGGCATATGTTTAACCCTAGAAAGGTGGACTATTATTTA